GACAGCCCCAAAACCTGAAAGATCTGGAGAAGACCTGTATGGAGGAGTGGGCCAAAATCCCTGCTGCAGTGTGTGCAAACCTGGTCAAGAACTACAGGAAACGTCTGACCTCTGTAATTGTAAAGCAGCACCACAGACCTCCCATTTTCCACCAATTTGTGTTCTGCTTGTTCAGCAGTTGTTGATTAATTGCTTGTTACTGGAGGATTTTATTGCACAATGCGTTAACGGCCACTATGATGATTTCAAGTAACATACAGTGTAACCTCCACTCAGCTCTACTCTACACACAGAGCAGGGAAGGGAAGGGCACCCCAGAGGAGGGAGAGTGAAGTAGGGACCCCCAGATTAAGAAACACGGCAGTAGAGTAAAAGAGAACAAGAGTCACCATTTCATTTGCTTTATTTTAACGGATACCAGTCCTTTGAAATATGCCTGGATCTGTCTTGGGATACCCAAATTCAGTCCCTTTTCTGCAAATACAACTTGACTGGACTCTAGTGCTGAATTGAATTGATTTGACATTGATTTTAGAAAGGCACACACCTATGCCAACTGTGTACTGTATAGTTTCTATATGTTTGATCTGTTTAATAAGCTCTTTCTCCTTTTATTGTTATTTGTGCTACTTTAAAAAGTATAATTTTTATCAACCTCCAGTCATTTACTTGAATTTTTTTATCTTGCAGGTGGTGTAACACCCCACAATGTGCCCTCTAGTTCCTCTACATGTGCCCCCAACTGCTTCCATTGTGGCTCTGGAGTTTGTATCATCAACACGTGGGTGTGTGATGGCTATGCTGACTGTCCTGATGGCAGCGATGAGTTTGGATGTCCCACAGGTACCACCTCTGTCTGATGATTGGTCAAATAGTTTTGCAAAGAAGTAGTGGTTCATATTTTAATGTGCAAGTTTGCAAATCACACTTTTTGGTTTGTTTTAAATGTGTTATTAGAAATACACAAAATTATCCAATAAGGCATTTATGTCTTGAAGATTTACTGCGATGTGCATTTACTCTGCCCAAACTCAATAAACAGCTTAGCAGTATATTCTAATTAAACAGAATAGAAGAAGCATAACCTGCCATGGCTGTTCAGCCACACGTGGGCATCTGTTCTGTATAAACTCGACTCGCTGCTCTGATGGTGAAGCCTGTGTGCCAGACAGTGAGAGGTGTGACGGCTTTCTGGACTGCTCCGACCACAGCGACGAGGACAATTGCACCTGTAGGTCCACACTACTTCCACCGTGACAGCGTTGGTTTAATTATGCATAAGCTTTTGGTCAGGTTAGATGATACAGATGCTTCATGACAGTAGCCTTTTAAAAAATACATCACATCTAAACCAGTAAAGCTACCTGACCTTAAGAACTGTGCACAGTAAGTCATGCCAGTCAAGCTCACCACATCCTGTGGTTTAAAAGCAGTACAGTGTCTACTGTACTGGCCATCTACTGGTCGCTTGTGTGCACTCTGAGTGTGATAATCACTGTTTGTCACATAATATTAAAAGTAAGCCTCTCTCCCTCTCCCTCTCCCAGCGGACTTCCTGGCCTATAAGGTCCAGAACCTCCAGTGGACACCAGACTTCTTGGGTGCCATTACTCTGACTTGGTCTCATCCTAAGAACTTTCTCCTGGACTTGTGCTACTTCCTCATCTACTACAGGTGTGATGTTTTCCGCCGTTAGTTACCCAGAACTGTACTCTGGTTGAATGTTGTCATTTCCCTGGTAAATTGAC